TAACTTTCCTTCTGTATCTGACTAGGACCTATGAACTTTCTGTACAAATTCAGTTTCGTATTTTTCTAATTCGTGGAACTTAACGCAATGAGTGGTTGCAACCGAGGAGCTCTCACAAAATGTATCGTGCCATTAAATTTTGCATTGATTACAATCTTCATGATTTAGATGAAATTTCCCAGTCTGTCAAACTTGCGGCTGGGTAAGCGGAGGGGGATTTTAGGCAGAAATGATGCCATCTGAAACAAATTATCTCTCCTCGAGTTTCATTAATCGTTTCTACGGCAAATATCATGTCAATTACCTTCGATTTTGATACCAGGTCTTCACTTGGGTCTCTTTTAACCCAAGACGAGTGGCCAGAAATGCTCTATCTGACACGCTGAGATATTTTTGGGCACAGAAATATCCCTCAAGTCCGGCTAACTGCGTGTGCGAAAAGCAGGTCCGCCTTCGTCTCGGGGACATCTCCGCTTTACATGGCGTGGAAAGTCGCGCAGATCTTGCGTATTCTTTCCGTCGTTTTGACTTTGAGGTTCTCTGTTCCATCCCGTGTTCAGGTGCCGTGGCAAATTTCGACTCTTGGCACAGTTCGTTACCTTAAAGTAGAATATCCCAAAGTGAAACAGTTTAAAATTGCACAAAGGAAGGATATTTTAATCTTCGAAATAATTTGTGACTGGCGTTAACCAGTCCAGTCCTACAGTTATCTGGGATTGTATGATATCGAAAGAAACTCTCATTAAACGATATGAGAGACTAGCATGGCTCTTTCTGTCTTATCTGAAGTATAGAAGATGGCGTGACTCATTAAAAGTGACAAAAAATCTAGAAGACCATTCGGAATGCCCTGACATTATTTGCATACCGCGTTCTATATCAATTCCATTTCTGACGCCAACCAAATTTTGAAGCGAACCATGTTTTCAAGCAAAAGCTGTTACCTTTCGGTGGAAAACATAGTTAACAAATTTTTGGGGAATTTCCCTTGTTTGTTACTGTTCCAGGTTAAATTGGTGTAGCTGTGCATTAACGTGTAGTGTCCTAAATACACGGAAACGTTTTGCTTAAATAAACTTCGCCCACATGTTACTTGGTTTCTCCCTGCACGTAAGTCGTACGAAGTAGGAAATAAATAAGTACATGCTTTCCAGAGTGGAGGGTCGACAGAAAATGTGGGCTGATTGGTTCAAAACTGTTTTGCTCTCATTCTGTCTTCAGTCGGCTAACGATAATTCGGACTACCAGTTGGGATAGGAAACACAAATTTGTAGTTGTACACGTACAGACGGACCACAGACGATGTTCAAGAGATGAGACCTA